GAAATTTTCGTTGAAATCAGGAAGCGTCACTCTTTAAAGGGTTGCGGAAGCAGTGAAAGAGCATAATTAAAATGTAATAATTTTTTTGAGGAAGATGAGTTCTTTTATATTCTACTCATGAAGCTACTGCCTTCTGGGTCTTAAAAGTGATCACGAAAATGTGTCACCGAAATTAGTTTTCTTTTCACAACGTCTCTGAAATCTGAAAAATGTAACACAATGACAAAAATTAAATATAAAATGTAAACTTCACAGGAATATATCTTTCAAATTAACGAGGTTTTTCGAAAATTATTATCATAATTATCGAAATAGTATCAAACCGTTTCTCAGAAATTATCACAGTTTCTAGGAAAATCTTATTTTAAATTTTATGAAACGTTTTTAAAACAAGATGAAATTAAAAAAAAAAAAAAAGATTTTTTAAAAACATTATTGAATTGTCCTTACATTTTTCATACGATTTCTTGCTGTTCCGATATTTTCTGCACACATTCATGTAATTATTTTTGCAATCATAATGTTACAGTTGATGAATTCAGCTGCACAATGTTTGCATCAGTTGAGAAGATGATGGTTAATGTGCAATGAAAAGACAACTAATTTCAGTTCTTCACCTTCTCTTTACAAATCTGTTCCTGTTTCTTGAAAGTTGGCACCCTCAACTGATTTAAAGTAAACCCAACCTTAACTTAACTTCACAAAACTAAACTATGAAAAACCTAAGGGAAGGACCTAAATATAATTAAAATTTATTAGCATTAATAATCTAAACTTTTAAGATGACACAAATTTTTTATAAATTTCTCAACAAGACTTCTGACAACTTCGCAGGTTAAACTAGAAGCATATAGTAATTATTTATAATTACATTAAAAGGTTAAAAATACTTACAAATTTCGAGAGACAGATTTCATGGAGGAATTTCGCTATATACGTATCCTTTGAATTGTAGCGTCGAGGCACCAAACAATATAAAGATAAAATTGCTTTAAGCAAAATAATAATCCAATATATATTAGGGTATTATTAAGCCTTTAAGCTAATTATCCCCTCCGGGACTCGAACCACGGACTCTCGAATACGCGCCGAGTGTGCTAACCACTACATCACGAAGGCGGGAGAAATACCTTATATACTTCCCCAGTTTAAAGGGTGACTGGGGGTTAGGAAACCCAATCGCCAAATTTTGGCAAGGGAGAATCATCCTCCACCACCGTTTTTTTTTTAGTTTGGGCGTCATTGTAGAAACATTAGGTAGTTTTGAAGCAGGAGAGAGGAAAAATGAACAATGCCGTCCCCGGGAATCGAACCACGGACCCCTCGAATACGCGCCGAGTGTGCTGGTCACCACACCACGAAGGCATGCTAAGAAGGCAGGAGAAATACCTTATATAATAATTAGAGGCTACTCATCAATAAGATAAAATAAAGGACTCTTAATGTAGTAACCTTTAGTCATGATTAAAATTGACCATTAGCAAAAATTAAAACAAAATCTTACAAATAAATTCTCTTTTGAAATTACAAGAAATGTATAACTACTTGGGAGACCTTCGTTTCTTATTTAGTTTATAAAAGACACTCAGCGATAAAATTTTCAATTAAAATTATACAGGGGCAAGAGAAATTGCAATAAATATTTTTTATCGTCTATTTTGCATATTGCAGATCTTGAACATATCCGTTAAACTTAACATATATACACATATCCGAAAGGAAACTTAAAAGAGTTACACGTATTTCTAACATACGTAATTTTTTATCCAAAATAGCTGCCATTTCTTTCTTATCCATGTTCATAATTACAGTAAGTTTTAGTGGTCGGCATTTATCAGAGTTCAATTGTATTAGATACAGAGTCATTAGGTTATTTTGAAGCAGGAAGACGTGAAAAATGTGCAATGCCCTTGCCAGGACTCGAACCTGGACCTCTTGAATGCGCGTTGAGTGTGCTACCGTTACACCACGAAGGCATGCAGAAAGGAGTGTGAAAATCAAGAAGCGCACCACTTAAGAAGTCGCTCGAGGGCGGGAGAGACGATGCAAAAAACTTCTGAGGACGGTAGAGAGGGCCGTAACCTCAGAAAGAAATGAGAAATGTATACGTGAGTTATACCCTATAGCAGTGGTTCTCAACCTTTTGACTAACGTACCACCTAAACAAAAATTGGAAATCTTTAGTACCACCACTATATTTTACAATGATTATTTTTCAGTTTCTGAATAGAAATATTTTTAAAAAAATATTTTGCCGTTTGCACAACGTATTGGATATTTGCATTAAATACGCGCACATAAAAAATATTAGATTAAAAATTGGTTACCATTTTAATTATCAAAATTTAATTTATAATATTTTAATTCTAAAATTTGCTGCGAAATCTGGGCCTATTTAAGAGAGATCAGTTAGATTGTGTCTGGTCTCATTTCACTTAGTTTTAACTCTAAATTAGGATCCACTTTTAATTTTATTCTATGTTCATTCTTTAAATATAACAGGGAAGAAAATCTTTGTTCACACAAATACGTTGAGAAAAACGTCAATAAAAATTTAGTAGCTTTACTTGAAAAGCCTTTATTTTTTCGGTTCGGGCAAAAGTTAACAAGTATGTTATTTTTTAAATCTTCAGTAAGAGTTCGATCACAGGAAATTTCTGTGAATTCTTTTTTTACGAGATTTTTGAATTTAATATTTTTGTTTCTTGGAGTAACACCTATTTTCTCTTGCGTAGCACCAGTGATACGCGTACTACCGGTTGAGAATCGCTGCCTTATAGGTTTATGATTTGAAACTAACCAATTATTCTGATTTAGACCTTTACTATAGCTTTTGCATTCGGTTTCCTCACCACAATGTAAACTTACTAGAGAGTATTTTAGCTAAGGTTTCTTGTTGTACGTCAGAGCGTGTTTCTGCCCTTCGTGGCCAAGTTGCATAGTTCGTGTCAGCTCTGATTGTAGATATGTAAGGATTATGTTAAATTTTGAGTTAAAGTTACTTTTCTATCGCTTCTTAATTTCAAGCTTACAACTTCCGGCCAGGACGTATTTTTAGAATCGCGGTTGAATTCAAATGAGGAGAAGTCTTTAATTGTGAAGTTCTACTAACTTCTTGAGAGAGAGAACCAGTGATTCTGACTAGCGCGCGTCCGCCTTTTTAGGCTACTCTCTCCTAAGGTATTATTACCCTCGATCGTACTTTAGGCCCTTGATAGCTTCGCTGTTATTTAGCGTTAAGGGGCCAACTCTGTTAGAATCTTGATAGCTTCGGCTATATCTTTTTAGTTAAGATTAGTTAAGTTTAATTTTTCAGTTCCTAGTACGGAGTTCAGGCCCGAGTACAGGCTTTATTGTCAAACTCCAAGAAGTTCTACGAATTTAATTTGGAATATAAAAGGGTATTTAACCCTTCCTAAGTTTTATTTTCTGTCTCATGAACTCAAATGATTATTTTCTTATCAGTTCTTAAGATTCTTCAACTTTAACTGTAACTTAAAAGTACACAGTTTAGAATCTTACAGAGACATAAGGTTATTTCGAAGCAGGAGACATGAAAAAATGAGCAATGCCCTCGCCGGCACTTGAACTACGGACCTCTCGAATACGCGTGTTTTTTGGCCAATTCACCTGTAAGGCATGCTAAGAAGGCGGGAGAAATAATTTGTATGATAAGTTCGTAATTATTCGGCTTTGCGTTTAACTGCAGACATTTGAATTTGATATGCCGGTTCTAGTTTTTGAACCGACTTATATTTAAATTAAACTGTGTTGCCTTTGAGTCCTACTCTACGTTTAAAATTTGAATTTGGTTATTATTTCAGTTGCATCGCCACAGGTAGTGTTTGATCCTGTTAGAGAAAGAAGTGCGTTTGTGTTCAAAGTTCTATTTTAATGAAAAGATTCTGTGAAAGCTTTCATTAACCCATTCCCTGTCATAATCCCCATATGGGGATCGTCTACATTTGTATACATTGGGACGTCATGCTGCACCTGGGTTGTCCCTTACGGGTGGTCATGCTTTCCTTAAGATTGCAACTAAGGGTAGAAATCTTAAACAAACACTTGGAGTCAGTTAGTTGAGCTCACGAGTTTATTTTTCTTGCTCTCTCGTTACTTTTCACGAGAAAAATAATACGGTTATTTTCAAAGCACAAAAAAGTTACTTAGGAACAATTATTTTTGTTGTACTGAATTTCCCTTGATCATTGGTAAGTAATTAATGTATTTATATATTATTTATCCTCATACTGTAATTTGGATGGGTACAATGAACCTAGATATATCGATCCCCATTTGGGGATCATGGCTGATACTGACTAAAATTGTAAAAAAACTGTTTTCTTTTTTTTCCAGGAAATGTCGCGTAAAAGATATCTTTCTTTAAAAGAAATAGAAGAAATTGTAAATTCTGATGATTTTTTTTTGCATCTGACGATGACGACGATAATAGCCCCATAGATATTGTTGAAATTCCACCAGAGCGGGTTGATGAGATTTCAGATAATGAGGACATGGATGACAACGTAATTGATGATGAAGAACCACTTGATGTTCCCGGGTGTGTTGAAATTCACCGTGTGGCAGGATTTGAGGAAAATGTTTTAGTGAATGCAACTGAATCTTCAGCAAATGAAGTAACAAAAGGTACCGGCTTACCACCTGCTAAAAAAGAGAAAAGAAGTATTGACTTCCAATTGGAAAAAAAAGAAGCAACCTAAGTACTCGAAACTATATGAAAATTCTGACGTTATAGAGACAAGGCGAAATGATGTCATTAGAAAACTCAGGGGAAAAATCCCGGTAGAGTGTTTTGAAATACTTTTTGATAATGAAACTGTCACCTATATTGTCCAGCAGTCTGTAATATACGACCAGACAGAAAAACAATCATCAATTTCAGCTTTCTAATAACTGCCTAAAAATTTATTGGAATACTTCTTTTCACTGGCTATCATTCACTTCCGCAAGAACAATTATATTGGTGTGAAGATGAAGACATGAACATTCTGTGTGTTAGAGCATGCATGAGTCGGAATAGGTATCTGGAAATTAAACGGTACCTACATATCAGTGACAACTCCGATTTAGAAAGGATTCCACTAGGTGAACGTGATAACCTCTTCAAGATTCGCCCATTGATTGACAAGCTGAATGACAAATTTCAACAATTTGGGGTGTTTTCTGAAAGTTTGAGCATTGACGAACAAATGGTTCGTTACTATGGACATCACTACCTCAAACAATTTATACGTGGTAAGCCAGTGCGGTTTGGGTTCAAACAATGGGCTATCTGTTGTTCACAGACTGGATATTGTTATCAGACTCAAGTGTATGAAGGCAAATCAAAGAAATTAGGAGATGATGAAAGCATCAGTGGGCTTGGGACATCTGTTGTCCTTCAGATGGTATCTATTCTTCAGACACCAAATGCTCATAAAGTTTACTTCGACAATTTTTTCACAGGATTTTCTCTGATGAAACATTTGCAGGACATTGACGTTAGAGCAACAGGAACTGTTCGATTCAACAGAATGAACAAATGCCCTATTGCAACAGACAAAGAGATAAGGAAAAAAGAACGCGGGGCATATGACTACAGATTTGATTCCCGTAATGAAATTTTAGCTGTCACGTGGAATGACAACAGTTGTGTAAGGCTTCTGTCTAATCATGAAACTATCGAACCAATATCAGAGGTGAAGCGATGGAGTAGAACAGAGAAGAAAGATATTCAAGTACCACAACCCAAACTGATATCAGAAATAAAAAAAATACATGGGTGGAGTAGACAAGATGGATTGGAATGTTCAAAAGTACAGAATCAGAATAAGGGGAAAAATGGTATTTTCCTTTGCTTACTAATGCCATCGACGTAACACTGGTTAACGCCCACGCACTGTATTGTATTTCAAATGATATAATTCCATTGCTAGATTTTAGGAGGATGGTTACTTAAGGATATCTTGGTTTATCTTCAGAACCCTCAGATGCAAAAAAGGGTAGAAAGAATTCTTTCACTAAAGCATCAATTAATCGTGTCGCTACTGTTATCAGAACATCTGGTAATCATTATATTGAACGGACCGAAAATGGTAAACAAAGAAAATGTGCAGTGTGCAAAACAAATGCAAGAAAACAATGTAAAAAATGTAATGTTGGATTACACGTAGACTGTTTTGAACTCTGCCATTAAAAGTAGATAGTATCAGCCATGAATCCCCATATGGGGATCGGACTTAAATTTAAAATTTCTGAAAAAAAAAAATTGCATTTATGAGAAAAACATGTTTTTCTTATTATTTAGATGTAAACTAAGAGAAATAAAATAAAAATTGATGAAATAAAAATTTGGCAGTTAATGGGTTAATGTTGGAATTTGATTTTGATTTTAAAGCAAATTAGAAATTCGGTATGATAATATAAAATTTTTGTAGCGGTTTTTTAAAACAGTAAATTATCCTTAATTCAGTAACTCATTCCTAATTTAACAGAGATACGGCAGTCTTATTAATATATTTTCGAAGAATTCAAGTTACATTAAAGTTACACTGATATGTTACATTTGTATTACAGTGCTTTAATAAATTACCAATAAGGAATAAACAAAATTGTAACATTTCATTACTGACAAATTAAAAAATAATATTTTGTTGAACTACTGATCAGAGCGCCATGACGGAAAATAACTTTAAAATATTTTGAAAATAGGCATTATTGCTACAAAAGTTAAAGAGGGGGAACGTTTTGGTCAGGTTAGGTTAACAGCTAGTTACATTTATTTATATGGAAAGCACACAGGGGATATATGACGAAGGGGGAATAGCTTCAGCAATAATTTCTAAATAAGACTGACTAGTATTTTTATTACACACACACACATACACACACACACACACACACACACACATATATATATATATATGTCTTGGAATTTAGAATAAAAGCACCTGCATCTGTAAAAAATTAGACAAACGATACAGATAAATCGTTTCATAGTGCGGATAAAAGTTTATCATCTCTTCATCTGCTTTGCGGCCCATCAGGGATCAAGTGGATAAAACTGCTAAACAATGGTAAATCTATACATTTTTTAATCCTGGCGCACAAGTTGCTTGCACGGCATTTCTGTGAGTTTCTTCATGTGCAGCGTAAATCTTAACCATTTTTCTTAGAAAGTCTTCCATAAAGCCGCTCTTTATCTTAGGGAAAAAGCCTCACGATTCGCGCCATAACTGGTTTTCAGAACAGTGGAGCGCAGACAAGATGAGAGAAGATGACTAGTTTTACAAGAGCTTTCTGTTTCTTAACAATGGCGAATATTTGAAGAATTATGTAAAGAGAGTAATTAATTTAGTTACTGAAAATCAGAAGGTAGGTTTTCCACATATCTATTAAGACATGCCAAAAGGAGCCTAAGTTATGATAACTTACATTATAAAATTGCCCTAGAATTCCTACATAATTCCCTAGAATTCCTATATTTGGCTTTACAGTAGAAATAAAAATAGTATTAACCATATTATCTATGTATGGCAGTTTTTGATGTGTAAAAATAAGCGTCGTCAAAAATAATAGTAAAGCCTTTTGTGAAACATTTATTATGCACATGATTTATTATTATACGAGTACGTATGGAGTAACTTTGATTTTGAGACTTGCATTTTAAAATAAGTGTATATTTTTATTTTGTTCGACATATTCTGAATTCTAAATGTATTTTTTAATATGTAAAATAATAACGAGGATGAGATATTTGGTGTTAGTTTATTGTATTTTTCAACGTTTTTTATTCATTATTCCTGCTTTAAAATATCAACTGGCAGCTAATAATGCATTTTTCAATAAGTATGAATAATGATGCATTTTAATGAAACTGTCCAAATTTAATAAAATATAAAGAACAAGAAACTAAATTCTTAAAAAATCCTAGACTAGAGCTCTTCATTTTTGAATAATATCAAAATTAGGATGCTGCAGCGCCATCGATGGCATCATGCGTGTTAGATGCATATAACGTTGAATGCATTACCTTGCAAAATATATGGTCATAGAAGCTAGAATATAATTTAACTGTTTCTTTTAATTAAAATATAAGTCATAGAAGTAAGAACATAATTTAAATCATTCTTTTAATTCAATTTTTATTATCTTTGTGTTAGGAAGCTTTGTCGTTCTCCTAGTCATCGACTAATTATATGTCACTAGACTGCGGTTTCCACAAGCCTCTAGCTGCAGTTCTATCGGATTACCACATCCGTTCTCCTAATGTATCGCTTCACTGAACCAACTGAAGCTGAAATCGAATGATTCAGACTATCCTGATCTTACATATTCCCCCTATGCCTTCAGCTATAACAGGCAAGGTGTACTTATAAGTCCGCTGTGGTTCACGGGACTATAATCCATTGCCCCACATGTCCTTGCTTTCGAGCGTTTGGTTGAAATGCCTACATTCCTTGAACATTTATGAGATTAGGTTATTTCTCTGAATATTTATGCTTTAATTAGTTGCATTTTTCTCCCTGAAATACTGGCACGACAAATTGCATTGTGGTATAGTGGCATGACTAATTTTTCGCATTTAAAAAAAATCAGGAAGAGATTGAGGTTGTTAAATGTAAGAGATTTTTTTTTTTTTTTTTAGTCCAAAGTGCGGCACTTAAAAGAAAGCTTACTATTATTATTATTAGTCCAAAGGGACTTTGTCCCTGAGTTTTGCGATTTCGCGTCAAATCACTCAGAATGTCAGTTTCACTTTTCAAACTGTTGCCACAAAATGTTAGAGTCCTGCATTATATTTGAAGAAATTAAATAATGAAAAATCTGCATAAATGTATGTATATTTCTCGTATTGTGATAAAACAACGGTACATGGAGCCATCGAATTTTGAATGACTTAATCCTACTGCGAATATGGGCATGTCGAAGCCCAAATTTGAAATCTGGATTTTTTTATTATTTCGATTGCATATTTGTAAAACTTTAACAAATTTTTGATTAACAAACTGAAGGATTTCAAAGCGAGCAATGGCAACATTTTATAGAAACAACATTTTTATCTCCAGCGCGCGAGACTGTATCCGAAATTCTAAAGATATACTGAATTTAAAACTATTTTGCGATATTGCTCTTGAAGTGAATTTTATAGTTTAAGTGCGAAGAACGTGATATTTAATAAATAAATGTAACAGAGAAAATGTTTAAAAAAAAGAAAAAAATAAGGCCCATTTACACGTAATTTAAAATCTGAAACCTTTCAGATTTTCTTTTCTTTCTTCCCCCCCCCCATCGCTGGAAACCGAATTATATACAGTATCCTCTCCCCTCTTGAATTACTTAAGTAATGGGTTTCATAAACCCTTAGGTTGAATTTAAAAATTGCATAAGTATCACTTCGTAAGAAACAGCAATATTTTATATCTATGTATGAAAGTGCGTATGTGTATTATACACTGTATTGTTTTATCAATGACGTATGTAGCACTATTTACCCTGATATAAAATATAAAAATATGAAAAATATCAAAGAAAAAAAACAATCTTAAATAACACTTTTTTAAATAATAGAAAAGTATCGTGAAAGCTAAATTTTCTCCGTAGTGGAAGAGTCGGTGGTGGGTAGGTGAAGTAAAGATAATTCCTGTTCTTTAGCAATTTCTGCCCTTCAGGTATTGAAGTTTGAGTGTAGTCTTGGTTATCTGAACTGCTAGCGTGACGCCGGTGAGAACAACATCTCACAAACATAGCAAATCAGAGATTCGCAACCTTCTTTGGTTTATTCATCCCTTTCATCACTGCTAGAATATATTTCTTCCTTTTTCCAAACCTCAAAAAAATAAATCTATATCTTTATAAAGATTCAGATGATTTTTAACGTGCTTTATAAATTAAATAGCTGATTAGTACCAAAATTTGAATTAAAGTAGTTTTTTATATTCGTAAATTTAATTAAATACTTAACAGCTAAATAAAAGGCTGATCACATTCCCAATTGAATCTATGAAATCCCACCCTTTATTTTCAGAGTAAATTGTGTGAACCCATGCTTTTTGTGATCGTAAATGGCTTGTAGCTAGACCTATCGGAATAGATACTGCTGCCAGCATTTTTAAAACCTTCATGTTCTAATGTCAGTTTTTTTTTTTTTTTTTTTTGTGTAAATATTTCCCTTCATCATTAGCGGCACTTTCATGCTTTCAACAATGTGAAATTAATGTCTTATTATAGTATTCAGTGTCAAAGTAAACGCATTTATATCTCATGCTGGTGATATCATTTTTCCGTTTTCATACGTGTGAATTATATTCAACATTTCTTCTACTACGCAGATTTTTAGACTTATAACCAGCATATTCTTTTTGTTTTCGTTTTGCATCCATTTTAAGGATAAATAAACAACAAGCGGTGATAATGGTAAGCAAGTGACTGAAATAATCACACGAATATTGTTTCAATGCGTAATATTTGGTTCGGAGAAAAGATGAGTTGTTTAAAAAGTTTTCATTTTCTTTTCGTAGCTTTCAATTTCAATGTTAAGACATTCCACGCCTTACGTAAGGCAAATTTACCTAGTAATGTTTACGTAAGTCGGAGATTTTTATTTACCGGGCTGTGCTATATATTGTTACATATCAAAATTAATGTTTTAGATCACTCTTCCTCTTTCAGTATGGAACAGAACTAATTTCAACTATCACTTCCACTGGAAATGTTATGGTTGAGAAGATCTTAATCTCAGATATATCTTTTGTATTCAATGTCTGCATGTTCAGATTAAGTCTTTTTCAGTATATTTAGGTGTAACATGCTAATATTTTTAAGGGAAAAAAGAGTTTACTTTGTTTTCTTCGACAAAATTTCTGTCATCACTGCCTTT